CAGTTTGGATTGAAGCTGCTTTAGGGAAGGCCATGGCTTTTCCCCTGGCAATACTAGGGGGTACCAAGTACTGGCACCTTTTTTTCTAGAAGAAAAGCATTGGGGAAGGGCACATTTAAACAGAACATTTCATAAAAACAACAACAAGGCAAATACAGGATAGATGTGGCTTGTGGCCAATGTACTGTGTGGCTAGGGTTTCCATATTTCAAACAGTGAAACTTTTGGCACAAAAGTTGTTGTGTTGTGTTTTGTTTTTGTTTTTGTTTTTTGGCAAAGTGTTTGAGCTGTCATTTGCAAAATCTCCCCTCAAAAAGAAGTTTTTGAGATTTTTTTTATGAAATTAAAAAAAAAAAAAAACACCCCACCATTTCTGATATGGATTGACATACACCCAAATTTTCCAGTACGTGTGGCAAACCAATGGAGCGCCCTGGATGCGGAACAAATGGGAATGAGTACATAACCATAGAGCCTCTCTCCTCTCAACACACAGACTTTTATTTTTGTGCTTCTTGGTTCTCAAGAGCAAAGGAGAAAAGAATATCACCAGCTAAAAAGCAGTACTTAAGGACACCTCATGAGCACTCTGCTCTTCCCCCCCTGCCACCCTCAAAATTATGCAAACTCAATAGCAGCAGAGATACTTCAGAAAAACACTCACTGAAGAAGTTTGAATCCTTTCAGGTGCATGGAATGCAGCTACAGAAAAAACGTCTTGAGCTAGCTAAAATTTCAACAGAGCTGCATGAAGCCAAAGGAAGGCGAATCTATAGATTTTGCCCCTCGCCCCTTTGCAGAAATCAAATTGTTTTTACAAAACCTGGCCTCCAGATAGAGAACGACTCGCCCACTCTTCGCCTGAAGGTCCGCCTTCTTATCACTGTTAGGAGTCTGCAATGCTTTTCTACTAACAGAACTGATCTCAGGAGTCCTGTAGAAAGTTTTCCACACAAAACTCTGAGAAGACATTGGCGGGAACCCCCCTCTGAGCTGCCACATTGACTGATATTGCCAACTTCAATAGCAGCTAGTGCAGTAATAAGGTCAGAGACCTCTGGAGCGGAGCCAAAAATCCTGGGTTGGAAGCCATCTAGCTACAGAGGGTTCGCAGAGAAAGGAAGAGGGCCTTTCTTCTTCCTTGCATGATCTGAGATCTGATAAAGAGTCGGAAGACAGCCTCATGCTTAAAATATTTCTTTCCATCCACACCATCAAGGGGCTTTTAGAAAGCTGTGGCGAGGGAGAAGAAAGAACAATTGCAGCTATTGTCACATTTTCTTCACAGATCTGCAAAGCCTCACAGTCTTGCCTTGACAATTTCCAGGTATTTTTCAAACCAGGCATGGATTAAAAGCAATTAAGGCACTACAAGTGAGAAATGGTAGATACCTATGTGCAAGAAGAGAGGCAAGCCAGGTCTGTTCATTTGTTTTGAAGTGAGAATGCTCACCATTCTTTAGCTTAATGAGAAGAGCCAGAGCTGCCAGCAAGGAAAATAAATTCAATACTTAAAAAAATAATAATCATAATCAAGTGGGGCCTGCAACAAAAAGTTGCAGCATGGAGTGCTCCTCTTCAGGGTTCCAGGAAGCTAGTCATGCCCCTTCCATGATACATATTCCTCCTTCATGATGGTTTCTATTGTCTACATTATATTGTCTATTGACCTACATTGGTTCCCAGTACGCTTCCAAGCACAATTCATAGTGTTTGTGCTGACCTTTAAAGCCCTAAATAGCCTCAGCCCGGTATATCTGAATGAGTGTCTCCACTGCCATCGTTCAGCCCGGAATCTGAGGTCCAGTGCCAAGGGCCTTCTGGGTGTTCCCTCACTGCGAGAAGTGAGGTTACAGGGAACCAGGCAGAGGGCCTTCTTGGTAGTGGTGCCTGCCCTGTGGGATGCCCTTGTTGGGATACTGCCAGGGAGATAAAGTCCATCAAGGCCCCCAAGCCGTCTGCCGGACGATCCATCGACCTCCCGTAGGCACGCAGCGACATGAGTTTCTAGAAAATATCTTGCCACATTCCAGAGCTCATGCACACTCTATCAGCAGATAATGCACAGCCAAAAGTTGCACTCAGAAGAGCATTATTTACAAGTTTATTCAGCGTTGATCAGAACACAGAAAAACATGACTGCCTGCTTTAGTGTCTACGACACAGAGAGAGAAACCGAAAGCAACAGAAAACATAAACATCCTGTGAACAGGACATGCGCAGACTCTGACTCACAAAGCCTGCTCCCTTTTAAGGTGGAACGGAAATATCCTAACAGCCCTCCCATCACATGTCAAGGAAATAAATAACTACCTGACGTTTAGAAAACATCTGAAGACAGCCCTGTTTAGGGAAGTTTTTAATGTTTGATGTTTTACTGTATTTTTAATATTTTGTTGGAAGCCACCCAGAGTGCCTGGGGAAACCCAGCCAGATGGGCAGGGTATAAATAAATCACCATCATCATCATCATTATTATTATTATCAACACCATTACCTTGCACCCCACCCCATCCTCAGCATTCCTTAACTACTGAGCATGCTCAGTCCTCAAGGCTGCAGGTACCTCCATTTACAAATATCAAAATCCAGAGAAACAAACAAGCTGAAACAGAAAGATATTTGGAGCAGCCATGTTGTGCTCAATTCTGAAGTCTGGCATGCTTCCTGCCCTAGCCTTTTAGGCTACAGAAGAACAGCCCTCAGAGTTTGCTGTTCATAATTGCTCAAACACTTGATGGATCTAAAAGGTACGCTGTGAAATATGTTTTTTAAAAAATAATAATACTATGAGTAAGCAGGTAAAAATGCACAGCCAAATACCTTTCAAAAATTAGAGTAAGGTTTTGCAAACTTCTGAAAGGGTTTTAGGCACTGGGAAAAACTTCAAGAGAATCTTGATAAGCATCCATATAATTGCCAACCAAACAGGGCAAAAACATACACACGCTACCCTGGCCATTTTGGGTCGTCATCCCCACTGCCCCCTCTTTATTGAAAAAGTGTGGTAAGGATATTTCCCCTTGCCCCCTATTTTTAAGCTGTTAATCTTCAATTAATAGACAGCTTTCATTTCATGCTCTTCCCCTACAGCTGCCAAATCCTGTTTGGCTTTACTTCCACACCCCACAAAATCAACAAGCAATTGGCTCCACCACCTGACTCAGAGAGCATCTACAATTAAAAAAAACCACAAAAAACCAACCTTGATTTTAAGAGTAAGCATCTTTCAGCATCTGTCGAGAACACTCCTCTGTGTTTCCACAGAGAGGAAATTTGTAATTACTATTGGGTAGAACAATATAAGAAGCTTCTCGGCTATTTGAATCCAGGTGACAGCAACCCATTAAAACACACACACACACACACACACACCACAAGAGAGAACATCAGAATGAGAGAGATCAATTTCAATATTCATTTCTCCAGCTTCCTTCAAAAGTTCCATTGTACTTCTTTCATCCTGTCCCAGGTAGGCACTATTTCATTCACTTTAACTTTTGAATAGTTGGGCAGGTCTCGCTTTCACTCCATTTAGAAACAGCTGTTGAGTGCATCATTTACTGTGGCAATGGAAGCAATAGAGCAAGCACAAAATAGATGGTCCTCTCCCCTGCTAAATGGGCATTCGATAGCTAACAGGTGCATTTGTGTGTGTGTGTTCTACCACCTGCACTGTAGGACACTTTCTTTTTTAAAGTGTTTGTAGGATGAAACCTGCACATCTCCTTAAAAAAAAAGAACCCCCCCATTACAATTTATGTACCCCACCCTCTCTCTTCCAATTGTGTTACGGGGGTGCTTAGAGGGGCAAAACCATAAAAAGAGATATGGGGGAAGATTGATGAGGGAGGGGAACGAGCTCAAAACCGCAGACTTGAAGTAGAACACCAGTCTTCATCTGTATTGTATCGGGGTTTTTTAAAGAAAACATTGTTCTCTGTATTGGATTTTTAAAATTCTTGTATGCCGTTTTGAGACTTTTGTGGGATTTGAATTACAAAATGAAATACAAATAATGAACGTATTCCCCCCAAAAAAACTCGAACATGGGACAACTTAATGCCTCCACAAGCTTTTTGTATGTTTACGTCAGGCTTCCTCAACCTCGGCCCTCCAGATGTTTTGATGGGAATTGTAGACTTAAAACATATGGAGGGCCGAGGTCGAGGAAGCCTGGTTTACGTCATCTACTCCAGCACTCCCTGGTCAGCACAATCCAATGATTGTTTGATGGGTTGCTACTGTATACATTGATTTGGATTGAATACTATGTTGGGCACTGCTCCATCTCTTGAACTGCATACCCCATGAATCTGAACTTGGGTTGTGCTCACAGCACCCTGTAAAGCCAATCCCACTCCAACAATGAGTTTCCCTTGTAACACTGTGGTTGGCAGAAGGTGGGGCTTGGGCTCCTATTCTTAGCAGAATGGATAGGGTTACTCTTAGTATTGCAACGTTACCATTTGGTGCCAGTTTACCCCTTTTTCAGCCACATATGGCTTCTGCAAGGCTTCACACAGTGTCACCTCCTCCAATTTACTCAGTGCTTTTCTGATGAGATTCGGTACACCTGTAACATCCTGGGTGTTCATCTGCAGCAGTGGAACATCCCCAAATTTCCAGATTGCACTCTTTAAATGGTCCTGTAGCTTAGGGTGGCTTCTCTGAAGCCATAGCAGACATTACGATGCAGCTACATGGCCTGTTTGTTCATTGGGGCCCCTTCTGCAGCCCAGATACCTCTCTGAGCCCTGTCTCTGAGAACTAGACCTTATTTTCCAAGCACACCACAGCTTCATTGTCCCCGTTGACCAAATTGTGAACTTTTGCAGCCATACCAATAGATCTCTATCGGTAGGTTCAGTAATGGAGCTCAAATCACAGTGTGAGCTGGAAATAGGGAAATATTGCAACTCTGGGTGATGAGAGTACAGGCAAATGGCAGTCCTTGCAACAGAGAAAAATTAGGAAAGCAGGTGGCAATGGCCAGATACCTTAAGGATGGGCATATAATTGAAGAGCATGAACTCATAAGGATAAACACATTCCGGGGATCCAAATGCCACTGTGTGCAGACACTGGCTCTGAGGTCCTGTTAATATAGCAATATGTGCAACATTATTTCTGCTCCGTTTACCCATGTCATTCATATCTGGAAGAAGGAGGCTGAGAATGCAGGAAATGGGTCCCATCAATCAAGCAGTGCAAGAAACAGAGTAAAAGACATCATTTTTATGTGAGAAATATTCAGAAACACGTCTGGACCGGAGAAGGCGCCTCCATTATCAATGACAGACAGCGGACCACCTTGCTTTCTGCATCCCAAAGGATATGATTTCTTTTCTATATTCTCAATATGACAACCGGGATGACAAATGTATACGAAGTAAAACACGAATCTCTCCTCCGCTCAAAATACCTGAAGTCTGACAGAGACATTTGCCCTGGATCATGGCAGCCCTTGTCTACTGTGTCTCCCTGTGTGCAGATTAGGGGAGGCAAATTCTGCAGGTGCCCTCGCAAGTTATCGCCTGCATCTTGTTTGGCATTCGCTGAAGAATAGCTCCAAGTCTACAGAATACTTGTGACATCCAAGCAATCCGAATGGCCCACACTCCCATTTAACTGAAACAAAACAAAACCTAATGGTGCTCCTTTCCCCACTTTGAGAAACTGGAGCCCCTGCTTATTAACAAAGCAGGTGGGTGCCCTTGATAGAAGAACTAGTAAGGCAATGCACACAGCTTTGTTGTTTCACCTGTCCCTGATTGTCACTCTTCCCTGTTTTTTAAAACATTATTTTTCAGTTTCTAAAAATAGTTATAATAACCAATTCTCCTCCCCTGAGGATTCACAATCCAAATGATGCAGTCAAATATTAAGCAGGTTTGTATAATGTTTAATTGCATTTAAACTATTATCTTTTATATGTTTTTTGCCTTCTGTATTTTATCTGTGTTGCTTTGATCTGTGTAAGCCACCTTGAGTCCTGGTCGGGGGGGGGGGGGGAATGGGACAACAACAACCATAGTTTAGAGCTTATTGTATCAGTTAAATGTCTTCTAATCTCCATTGTAATAGATTGTCCTGAAGTGAGCCATGGATAGCTGATAGTGACGAGACAATGTTGTCCTTTCTAATGTATTGGATAAACATGTACCATAGTTTCAAAATAATCTTTGGCCTTTGTGTCCCTTAGTGCTCTATCATGTTTGATTTGTTTCTCCATAAAGGCTTCACTCCTTAGTTTGTCCCACCATGCCTCCAGAGTTACATTAGTAGCTGTTTTGCAATATTGTGCTAATAAATTTCTAGTTGCAGACATAATAAAGAATAGTAGCCGCTCAAGGAGTAGACTCTTACGGTCCTCTACAAAGGGATTTGTAAAGCTGGCCTCTGTTCAGATTGTATCACTAGCTTATCTACAAAAACTTTCTGCCTTCCAATCCCTGTTCTACTTCTCTCTCTGCTGCTTCTTAGGGGGTTGCTAAGAGCTGCAAACCTTGATTGAGATTTTTCCTTATTTCCTGTAGCATGAAGCAACACTCAGTTTTGTCATCATGACAGCACTGCATTCTGCATCCTCCCCCTTCTGCTCCACATTGTTGGCTGCCGTGGGTTGGAGCAGTCTGTTATTCTTATTATTTTAATTTATTACCTGCCCTTCACCCTCAGAGCCCAGGGTAGGTTACAACAATTTAAAGTACAATTTTATAAGCAGTTAAAAATTTTACAATGGTGAAAAAAAAATGTTGTTGGCATCCGCCCGTCTCAAGAGAAAATGGAATGCATCTCCGGGGGTGAAGTCAAACTGCTGGAGAATTGCAAGGCCTGCTGGTACTGCAGAAACTGGTAACTCATAACTGCTTTTGCTGCATTAGCAGCATCGAACTGAACTCCCTGGGGTGCAAGCATGGGCAGTGTGTATGGAGGTCCTGGGCTGCCCAGACGACAAGACACCCCACAACCCAGCCTCACAGAGGTGGTCCAAAGGAAAGCAGAGCGATACACTTGGCACCAGTAGGGCTGCAGGAATTGCCGGAAAGCTATTTTTCATCTTTACTTACACACACACACACACACACACACACACACACACACACGTATAGATAATTCAATTCAAGCCCTTGCTTGCAATATGTCATTATGCCTAAAGTTCTTTGCAGAGAGACGCAATTGGAACCAACTACTTCCTCCTTCGGCATCTTGTCCCTTGGCTCCCCTGCTACATGAGTGCTATCAACGTAGATGGATCCTGCTAGCAGAAAGGCTTTTGTCTAGCCTTGACACTGCTCCTTGGTTGGCTTTGTGGTGTTTATATTGTTTCCAGGCCCCCCCCCCCACTTGTCCTGATTATGTGGAACATCACTTCTGCCAAGAACACACATGAAGATAAGAAGGCAGCAGGTTTTCATACATACTCCCCTTTGTCCCCCCCACAGATGTACATAGCACCAACTTATTTTTAACCCCCCAAATGAGATTATTATTATTTTTTTAAAGCCGCTCTTGCTCTTCGCAGAATATCCCATTTTGCGGAAGAACATAATGCCACAGAAGCAGCAGTGCAATAGAGATATTATTACTTAGCAATAATAAGGTGGTGAAGAGGGAAAGGGGGAAGAAAGCGTTCTCAAAATGATATGGCCATTTCCGCTGTCTCTCCAAGCGATAATATCTTTCTCCAATCCTGGGTATACTGTTAGGATATTCCACAGAGAGTGTTATATGGAATAAATAATAGAACAGCCAACTGTTACCTCTGCTCCCGTCCACTGCCACCATCTCAGCTGTAAAACCACTGCCAGAATTGGCTGGTCTGTGTTTCCCATTGTTTTTACTTTATACATAAATATCGTGCTGCTCCTTACATAGGAAATGAGGCACCTTTCACTGATAAGATGCCCAACTTTTTTCTTGCAGTAGGTCATCACCTAGGCAGCCTACCAAATCTTCAGAATCACAGGAAATGTTGTTCGAGTGCCAGGGAAATAAAGAAAGAGGTGAGAGAAAAAGGCAATAACACCAAAATAAGGAGGCAAGTGAACATCTGCTAGCAGATGCTCCTGTACAGTCTGTAGATAAAACATGGCAAGCACCAATTTGACATGTTCTGCAACTTTACTGGCATTGTTCTTGATTTATATCCAGGCAAGGGGAGATGAAAAGTTATCAGCTTAAAGCATCAGCATATGTGAATGTTCGGTTTGGGTCTCAAAAATACTCAATAACTCATGATTTTATTTATGTAGCACCACATCCCATCCTTCCCCTGTGAAAGGAAAAACCAAGGACTCCTTATTTTAAAGAAACAAAACAATATTGACTCATTATACCTGTGTTGCAGTGGGTTGGAGTAGATGACACTAGGGGTCCCTTCCAACTCTACAATTTTGTGAGTCTATGATGGATACATAGAGTGATTAATTGACTGCTTCACACTCTCCCTACAGCCTGCTAGAAGAAGAAGAAGAAGAAGAAGAAGAAGAAGAAGAAGAAGAATAGGAGGAGGAGGAGGAGGAGGAGGAGATTGGATTTGATATCCCGCTTTATCACTACCCGAAGGAGTCTCAAAGCGACTAACATTCTCTTTTCCCTTCCTCCCCCACAACAAACACTCTGTGAGGTGAGTGAGGCTGAGAGACATCAAAGAAGTGTGACTAGCCCAAGGTTACCCAGCAGCTGCATGTGGAGGAACAGAGATGCGAACCCGGTTCACCAGATTACAAGTCTACCACTCTTAACCACTACACCACACCTGACTCTTTAGTGTACGTCAGAGCCCCAGGCAATAAAACAAGTTGAGATGTGGCTTGAAGACAAATGGAGGGAAAGACCAGACAAACACAATCAAATACTGGTGAGTGCTCATTATTGGGCCTACTCAGTGCCACTGAAGGTGACAAAGAAGCCATACTTTGCTGCCTCCATTGCATCCTCACTGTGCTGTCCAGCACAGCTTTTTCTAGGCATGACAGGGGCTTTCACACTCTGGCCCAAAGGATGTGGACAAGGTATTTGGTTCATTTCGAGTGACCACCTGTGCTCTTGACCCTTCACCATCATGGCCGATTAAAACCAGCAGGAAGGAGGAAGAGGTCAGGAACAAACCTTCCCTATCTGATTGGCCCCTTGGGACAATGGTGTTGGAAATCAAGCCTTTATCAGGAGAAACTGGCAACTCTCCCAGGCACCCGGCTTGGTCTCCTGTTGACCTCCCTGTCTGCTTTCCCGGCAAGATCCAGGCAGAGGTCGCGATAGGCGATCCTTCTCAGCGTGAGAAGAACACACACCCTCTTTGTTGCCCCCGCCCCGGCAGGGGAAAGAGATAGACAGAAACGTATTTACATGCGTTTATTTCTGTCTTTGCAACGTTACAAAAAACATGACTGCTCTCTTCAAACTCCAGCAGTCGAGAGAGAAACACTTCCTGTACAGCTCATATTACACTCTGAGCTAATTCCGGTGCCCTCTGTTTCCCACGGACAGTCCCAACATCATGTGATGTTTACAAGCTAGCAGCTCGCAGCTGCATTGCTTCTATATAGTAACATACTCCCCCATATGAATCAATGTGCGCTGCGAGCAAAGCTTGATCCAGAGAAGAAAACAAACAGTTGTTATACATATAACACCCCCCTGTTGTTTCAGTTCCAACCTTGGAACTACCCGCCACTGGTTTCCCCAGTGTACCTCTCTGGTTGTCTGACTTCCAAGGAATGAGTGCATCTGCATTACCTTGGCTAGGGAATGTAGTGTTACGCTTAGCAACTCCCTGTTGTGTCTTTTTCTCTGACTTAGACACAGCTTTAACCTGTCTTGAGTTATCAACAATAGTAACACATGCTACAGCTGAGTTAGCAAACTGTTTTGAATACCTCTTGGGTGGTACACCCTTTGTAACTCTCTCGGACCTGCGTATGAGGTGCTGATCCTCTCTGCTCACTGGTTCAGTCTCAGGACTCTTTGGAGAACCAGTTCCAATAGTAAACAGTGGTTCATCCTTCACCTGTGAAGGTCTAGCCATTGTGTGAGATTTCCTCTCAAAGACTGTGTCAACTGAGCTCTTCGAGCTATCACTGTTACTCTCAGTACCACTGTAATCAGTAAAATCATCAACATCATCTGAATTGTCCTCAGTGGGAAATGT